CCCTCTTTAAAATGGTGGTGATATTAGATCCAACCAGATCAATCTGCTGTCTTTGCAGGTTGAAAATGGTAGAATACTGGCCATTTCCTATGATTCAGCCTAGTAATGCCTCCTTTCCAGGGTCGTGGTGTGGATCAATGCTCAGGGAGATGTCTTGTTCCCAACGCTCAGTGAAAGCTAATGTCGCTTCTACCCTGTGTCTCCCAGCAAAGCATGTGCTCTTTAGGGTGAGATGAGACCCCTCCCTCCTTAGACTCTCTCCAAGACTGGGCTCCCGCATTCCCTCTCCTGCCTGCCTTTCCAAATTCCCTTCCCTGCTCCTCTGGGTACGGTAGTCTGGGATGTCTCCACTCCCCTCACCTATCCTCCCAGCCCCAGGTGTAGCCCCTCAGGCAGCTTGGGCTTCCCAGGTGTCTGTGGGACCAAACTCAGCAGAGTGACCTCTGCCTACTTGATGCCGCTGCCTTCTCCCTACTGCCTCTGTGCATGTTCTGAAAAAGGAGTCCAGCTTTCGTGCTGACCCGGGCACTGGGTTTGAATTATTACTGCCTTGCCCCTGGAGTATGCTTCTGGAAACCCTCAGTCCCTGTGCGCAGAGGGCTTTCCAGGGTGGGGACTTATGGAGTGGTTACCCCCCCCCCACCTCAGCCTCTGCAGCTTTGGAGAGAGATACAAGAGCCTGCTGGCAGTTCTGCTGTGTTCCTGGTTCCCATGTTGCTGGCTTTCCCGGCCCCAGCACTTCCCTCCTCTGCCCTGTTCCCAGAAGCTGCTGGAAAGGGCTGATTTGGGCTCAGGCATCCCTGTGGTCTGGTTGGCAGGGGCTGGCGTGGGGTTTCCCAGCCCACCACTGACCTTGTGTTAGCTCTTTGTGGATTCTCTGAGAAGGGGTCCGTGAGCCAGGCAAGTCCCCAGTGCTGCCTTCAGCACCATGGGGAGGGGCACACGAATGGGTACATGCTTATTGAGTGAACGAATGAATAAATGAAGCAGGGGGACTTTTCTGGAGCACTCCCCATCTAGTGATCTTACTCTGATCATGCCGCATTCACCAGTTTGGAACCAATGGTGTTGCTCTGTGTTGTGGATCCAGCCTTGGCTGTTGGTCAACCAGACTCTTGGGTTTGCATCTTATTTGCTGCTTCTGAGCGCATTGCATCTGCCACAGTTTCATGCACCTGTGGCTGTTTTTTCACTGAAATCCTGGACATTCCATTTAGCCCTGGTATATTTCATTTTGTCATTTTCAATTCCAACTGGCTCTTTTTGCCAGAAGAATGTGGTATCAGAAAAATCCTCTTGCCTCTGAGATTGGCTAACCAAAGCAAACCAGACTATAAACTGTTCATAGAATTCATGACTTGGTCTTGTAAATGGCCAAATGTGACTCATCTTTATAAGCTGAATTACATGTACAGTGAGTGATGTTTATGACGGCTGACAAATTGATTTTATTGACCCCTGGTTCATTTTGGCTATGGTCTATAAAAACTGCCTCTAACTCAACACTTGGTCGTGGAGAACATACATATGTTCACAGATAGACACGACCACTGTAAGAGCTTTAAGGAATATCGGAAATAGGATATTCCTCTATGATCAGTACGTATCAAAATGGGGTCTAAGAATCATGTGCATTGGAATCATATGGGCCACTTGCTAACATACAGATTCCTAGGCCCCATCCTGGACTCACTTAACTGTATCTCCTTGGGAGGGGCTCCGGAATCCATACTTTCAATCTGCTCCTGAAATGATTCTGATGTCACCCGGAGGTTGACTGCTTGTGGAATTAATGACAACAAGAGAAATCACGAGGAGGATGAGCCACGATGGTGTGTGCAGATACGGTGGCTCTCCAGGTCAAAATACCTGTCATTGGTATTATCACCTGGAGGCTCTGGAGTCCGAATTCCAATTTGGTCTTGGCAGAGGGTCCCTTGTGTTGAGGCACCAGAGAGAAAGGGAAGGCTGTGCTGGGACATGGTGGTGTGGACCAGGCTGGTGTCTGGGAGCTGCCAGCTGTGATTTGAGCATAGGCATGGAGGAGATCCAGAGGGAAGGCAGTGAGCATCCCATGACCTTGGCCAGATGTGTATGTACACATAGGTGCCAGGAGGAGGGAGCCAGTGTGATGATGACCCACCCTTTGCATACCTGGCTGTCTTCAACTCTGCCATGTTATCACCTGAGAAACAAGACTGGCAGGGCAGGTAGGAGTTGAGACCAGAAGGGCACACTATGTGTAAAGCCCCAAGGTTTGAGTTCTGTCCTAAAGGGCACGGGGCATCTGAGCACATGGCAGAAAATGTGCTGCTGTCTCTATTTGCATAAAATGTGGTAAGGGGATTTCTACCCATGCTCCCTAAACAGTTCTATCCCTGAACAGTTCTGTCCCTGAACTCTGCACATAACAATCCAATTTCTTCTTCTTCTTCTTTTTTTAATGGAGATACTGGGCAATGAACCCAGGACCTCGTACATGCTAAGCATGCATTTTACCACTGAGCTATCATCCTCCGCTCAATAGTCCAACTTCTTTATCATCAAAACAGCCTTGAACATGGAATTTGTGGAACAAGTTCTGGCATCAGATGGACCTAGGTTTGTATCTGGGCTCTGTTGCTTGTTAGCTGTGTGACTGTGGGCAAGTTGCTGTACAACTCTAAGTCACAGGCCTGCTAGGTCCCAGCCTTGGGAAGGAAGCAGCCACAAACCTTCCTATGTGGGCCCCACTCTTCCCTGGATTCCACACAGGAGGCACGAACCCTAAGGACCATTTATCTTTGCTTTGCAGGTGTCATCACTGAATCTGCTGGAATCTTCTCACATCCGCCATGAACATCTCTCACTTCCTGGCCTTGCTGTTCCCAGGGTCCTCACAGGGGCAAAACAGGAGCAAGTCAAAAGGCATCCCATATAACTTCTCTGACCACTGCCAGGATTCCCTAGACCCAATGGTCTTTGTTGTCACCTCCTACAGCATCGAGACCATCGTAGGGGTCCTGGGTAACCTCTGTCTGATATGTGTGACCATTAGGCATAAGGAGAAGGCCAATGTGACCAACCTGCTTATTGCCAACCTGGCCTTCTCTGACTTCCTCATGTGCCTCATTTGCCAGCCGCTTACGGCCATCTACACCATCATGGACTACTGGGTCTTTGGTGAGGTCCTTTGCAAGATATCAGCCTTTATCCAGTGTATGTCGGTGACAGTCTCCATCCTCTCCCTTGTCCTTGTGGCTCTGGAGAGGCATCAGCTCATCATCAACCCGACAGGCTGGAAACCCAGAGTCTCCCAGGCCTACCTGGGGATTGGGGTCACCTGGCTCATTGCCTGCTTCCTCTCCCTGCCTTTCCTGGCCAACAGCGTCCTAGAGAATGTCTTTCACAAGAACCACTCCAAGGCTCTGGAGTTTCTGGCAGATAAGGTGGTCTGTACTGAGTCCTGGCCACTGGACCACCACCGCATCATCTACACCACGTTCCTGCTGCTCTTCCAGTACTGCATCCCGCTGGCCTTCATCCTGGTCTGCTACGTTCGCATCTACCAGCGTCTGCGGAAGCAGAGGCAGGTATTCCACAAAGGCACCTACAGTTCACGGGCCTGGCAGATGAAGCGGATCAATGGCATGCTCGTGGCCATGGTGGCCGCCTTTGCCGTGCTCTGGCTGCCCCTGCATGTGTTCAACAGCCTGGAGGACTGGTACCATGAGGCCATCCCCATCTGTCATGGCAACCTCATCTTCTTGGTGTGCCACCTGCTTGCCATGGCCTCCACCTGTGTCAATCCTTTCATCTATGGCTTTCTCAATACCAACTTCAAGAAGGAGGTCAAAGTTCTGGTGCTGACTTGCCAGCAGAGCGTCCCCTCGGAGGAGTCCGAGCGCTTGCCTCTATCCACAGTGCACACGGAAGTCTCCAAAGGGTCTCTGAGGCTCAGTGGCAGGTCCAACCCCGTGTAGCCAGGACTAGGGTTTCTCCTTGCCATGGTCATGGCCAGGCTCCTTCACTTAGTTAAGTGGGCGCATTGCAAGCTGGGGGCGGCACTCCATCATTACTGGCTTTCTAGGGCCCAGATAGGCTGGCAGAAGCCTGTTTTTGTATCCTTTTGCATTGTGAAGCCTGGCATCCAGATGGTTCAGCTATTGTTCCTGGGAGAATTCTGAGTCTGGATTCTGCAGGTCACACACAGAGTGCCTTGTAACTTGAGCGGATGCCCGAGCCGGAGATGGTCTGATCGTATCAGGCAGAGTTCATTCTGGTAACTCAGCAACAGATGCCCAGCCCCGGAACCCAGGGGTTTGACCTCCACCAGTGAGACTGCAAGGTCACTGTGGGGTGAGGGGAAGAGCATGTGGAGTCAGAGTTCTGGACCTTGGTGCACCCCGAGCCTCTGTGGGAGATGATATTTGTGGATGGGCTTAGTAAGTGGTGAAGAATTTTATGGAGGCAAGACAGTGGGATTACTGTATATTATTAGTACATCCAGCTGAGACAGGATCCTGGTGGCCTTCTCACACTCCCCTGCAGTAGAGAATCAGCCCTGAGCAGCAGGAATTCCAGGGTTCACATCCTATTGCATCCTTTTTCTCTTGGGTTGCATCTGCCACTTTGCATGGAAATCAGCCTGCAAGTGTTTCTCCTTGATAAGGTTGCGAACACCTTGAGCGTGACATCTGTATGGTCATAAAGCTTGGGTCCTCTGTGCCTAGGACAGGCACTGGCACAGGAAGAAGGGCTCCAGAAAGGTTTGCCATGGTAGATTGATAAAGACTGGGAGAGGCACCCAGCGGAGTGCTTGGCTGGGGACAGGCGCCTTGCACCATGGTCCGACGTGGGCAGGGCTCAGGCTGCTGCAGCCACACTCTCTCGCCTTCCTTTCCTCGCCTCTAGGACCTCTCTTGACAGGCAGCTGGCCAGGGACTCCCCAGTGTCCATCCACTGCAGAGACTTAGAGTATTCAAAGCCGTGACTCTAACCTCCTTCATTCACACTTGGCCCTTGAGCTGAATTGCCCCAGGTGATGTAACACGATTCTTTCAAAGCCTCCCCAGGACTTTGGGCCTCCCAGCGGCTTTCAGTCATGACAGGACCAGGAAGTTCTTAGAGCCTGGCTTCATGGGGGACTGGCTGAAAGGAGCAGTGGGTTCCCCTTCCTCCAGCCAGTCCAGGAAAATGGAGGAAGGGTTATGATCAGTGTGAGTATCTCACCCGTGGAGGTCAAGGTTCAGTCTTCTGGAAGCTGAGCCAGATCCAAGGCTTCATCTGTGTGTGGAGCAGACATCTTGTCCTTGCAGAAAAGGAAGTGTCAAGACCGCTCTTGGGCCACCTTGGATAGGATGTCTACATCTGGCTGGCCTACTTAGACCCACCCACCCTCTGGTAAAGTGGCTAGTGGCTAGACCCACCATGGCCTCCCGGGGGCAGGTATCCAGGTTCCCAGACCCCTTAAGGGGCTTCACTCTGAGGCTTCCAGGGTTGGCTCTACACAAGGGATCTGGCAAAGGGCCAGGCCAGAGATGAAAGAGCCACATCTGACCTTGGCCTGACCTCTGACCCAGAACTTGTACAACTGACACCCAAGACAACTGCCCTTTGAGCCACCAGCTCCCTTCCTGGAGCTGTTTGTTTTGTCCCAACTTTTGGCCACATCTCCCATTCTGTTCCTTTGCTGACCTTTGTCCTGGTTTTTTGGGACAGATTGTTGAGCCATTCTCTTGGATGCAGCTTGTGCTTGTCCTCTGGTGCCCTCTGCTGCTGGCTGCTCCAGGTAACCAGCTGCTAGCAAAGCCCAGACCCTGGGACCCATCCCAGCAAGATGTCACTGGTCAAGCTCCCAAGGAGCTGAGGACCTCAGGCCCCTCCAGATCCCATGCAGTTGCCTGGAGTTTGCATGTCATCACTCTTCTCAGCGGTGCCAAGATGCTTGCGGACAAGGATGCTTGAGGACAGGGGGACCAGGCAGGGCATCTGGTGAAGGTGCTTGGTATTAGGAAGTGGGGTGGTGGGTGGAAGCCTCACTGAGCATCTTCTGTGCTCCCCTCACTTTGCTGGGCTGGCACAGCCTACCTGGATGGCTGTCTCATGCTCTTGGTTCCTAATGACACTTGGGGCTTCCTGGTTATCCAGTATATTTGGCACTTGTATCTCAAAGTGTGCTCAGGAGACCAGCAGCTTTAGCATGT